TTTCGGTCGATTTTTCCATTTTTTATCCCGTTTGATCCGATTTGAATATTTTGAAAAAAATGTAGACTTTTGGAAGGTGTTTTTAACTAGCTTTTAAAGTAAATGATGTTTTAAAAATATGATCTAGGTTTAAACAATTTTTTTTATGTTTAAACCAAAGTGCAGTGAATTTCAAAACATAAATTAATCTACAGATAAATAGAGCCAATAAAATATAAGTAAATCATAATACCTCATTACTTGACGCAAGACTCAAAATTCCATAAACGTGAAAAAAATTGATATTTGATTTGAGTGGTTGACTTCCTCACATGCCTGTAGGGGGGTTATAATGGCTTTAATGGAAATGATATTCATTGGGTGTAATTTATACAAATCAATAACAATATTCCTAATCTGGCAAATTAATTTATTTAATCTTTAATTTTGTTACGCTTCTTCCAGTCAGACTTCAAGAATAGCCACACAACAGGCAAACCAAGGCTCGCACTCCATATCATTCTACCCATGTAGCAATTTTGCCTGAATTTTTGGGAAGAGATCGAACTCCTATAATAGGTCGGGATTATACACCGAGGTCGAATCCAAACGAAGGGTCGAACTATCATGGATTAGGCGGGGCAGGTAAAAGCTCTACAGAGGATCTCCCAGAGATCTTTCTAAGGTTGATTGACGTAACAACTCACTTTAATGGCCACTCTAAAAGTAAAATGTCAAGTCTAGCCCCTATGTGTCGGGTCTAGGGCTGCAAAAGGTCATACATAACATTAAATGTGCTTGAACTTGGGATTGGCCGATTGATGCCTATGACAAGTAGCCTTAGCTGCAGGGATGAGGCTATGTATCTCTTCTTCAAACGGTTCTTACTCATCCCTTTCTACTATAAAAGTTCACACATTGTGCCATTCAAAGGTATTGGCAAGTTTAGACTCTCAAATTTTAACTTTTACAATCTCACTTTACTCTTTACAATCCCTGGACTCGAACGCATTTTACTTAAGTAGCTCACCTCTTAAGCACATCCCACGCCCAAATAATTTCCTTATAAAGGATGACTTGACCATCGGTGTGTGCGTGACCAATTCCTCCCACTCAGAAGAAGACCATGTATGACTTACAATTTATCCTAATGTGCAAGACAAAGGCTTATGAGGACGCGAGAGGACTTAGGATGTGTTGGCCACGTTGCCTTTAAAAAAAATGAGGTCAAGATATTGGCGCCGTTTATAGAAAATCACACTACAACTACGAGCATTCCAATGGAAAAAGCTTGCCGGAAAAGTGGTTCAACTTTCCCCTTGACAGGTTTTGTTCTTGAATAAAGAACAAGTGGAAGTTCTAAATAAAAACTATTTGAAATGTTATTCAGTATCTTCGGCGTTCGCTGATAAGTGCGTTTTGCACACTT